CACATGTATAATACAATTAAAAACATGATTAAATGATTAACACAATTGCATTTTTAATATGATTAATACATAATTAAATTAAAATATCTACACTTAAAATATAATTTTATTAATCTAATTTAAAATCAATAATTATAAAAACAATGATAACAAAATAATAATATCATCAAATATAATAAAATTCAACATAAATAGTATCCATAAAATCCATTACCATAATAAAATAATCTTTTACTACTAAACTTAGAAAGGTTGATAACAATGTCCACTTATACAGGTTAAACACGATTAACATGATTAATTAAATAGGTTTAAATGTGTCTTAAACACGTTTTGACAAGATTATGATACAAAACACATAAGATTAAACCCAATCCCGTTTAACTTTGTATTTTTTTATGTCATGTCCAAAATTAACATGTCTATTTTTTTAAAGTATTTATTACATTTAATACTTATTAATTAATAATTAAAACATATATTTAAATGGTAAATAATGACATAATTAAACCAACTTGTTGAATTGAGAATTGTCTCTTTTATCAACAACCAATCTAATCTAGTCTAGTCTAGTCATTCAAACAGTTGACAAATCCCTCACAAGGTAGGATCCTCCTCACATTTATAGTTACTATGGGTTAAGCATAACAGCTCAAAACACCATACCTTTAGTTTTGATCAAGTTACAAAGAACTTAGTTTGAGATTGTGTTCGAACAAACGAGGGATGGTTAGCATCTTTTGTAATAGGGACAAGATCAACCTTTAGGTTTATGTGTTAGACTTGGTAATTTATTTATTTTTATATTTTAATCATATTGTGTAAATTTAGAGTATTAATAGTTATAATGGATAAATACGAACACACACGATTAATTATTCATATCAAGATCTAAAAAATATATATAGATACGTTTAATAAACACATAACACAATACGACATGGTTAACACATTCATTAAATGTGTCTAGTTAAATTTTATAAAACATGATTAACACGATTAAAATTTATAGTAGTTATAGTATGTTTACATAATTAACATGATTGATACGATTAACATACAATTGATATAATTAACATGATTAAAATGTTTAAATTAAAATATATACAAGAAAAATATAATTTTATTATTCAAATTTACAACAAAAAATTATAAATATCACAATATTTATCGAATATAATAAAATTTGAAATCAATAAATTTTAATCATCATAAAAATATTAGTATGTATATGAATCAATAAATGAGCCTTAACTGTACACTAAACGTGTCTACATGACATGATTAAATAAATAAACAACAGATAAATTATAAGTTATACGAGATACACGATAACATGATTAGCTAATCATGTCTTACATGTATCTTAGATGGATTTAACGGGTTTAACATGATTAATACACAAAATACTATGAACCTAAATTCAAACATGTAAAATTCGATATCGTGTTACCATATTACATACAAAATTACTAAATCTACGTGTTATCGTGACCGGCTCAAAGCTACCTACCCATTTTTGAGTTGGATCTTTAATCCATAATATTCCATGTTGAGAATAAAGAATAAAAAGAATATGACAAGAACTACTATTTTATCAATTTTTGAACTTTATAATTCTTTAATACACATCTTTAACATATTAGTTACAAAATTTATATATGCATAAAAAATAAGAGTAAAACGACATACATTATACCTACTACATCTCCCGACCCACGAGGTAAACTATCATTAAATCAATATCAAGGTGGTTGAACATAAAATTATGTATGCCATTGCCAACTAGAGGTGGTACTTGTATATTACTTGAAAGATGGAAACCTGAGAAACTGAAGAGAGAATTCAACAAAGAGTTGCCTAACAAGATTATTTATATTAAAGAACCAAAGTTGATCCTACTGGAGAGAAAATTTTTAATTTTCAGTTATGTATTGTAACATGTTTGCATGGTTTTTCCCAACAATATGCATATTTAGATTATTATCCTTCATTTGTAGTTAAAATATCTTTTCAAGAAAAATTTATCTAAAAACCTGTTAAAAATTACAACTCATTTCTCATTAGCATAAACTAACTTATTGGAATTAAATAAAATATAATCTTGCATAGCAAATTATCAGGTTTAACAACTAACAATTCGACAAATTTCTATTCATTGATCAAAACTAAGTATAAGCATCCACAAACCACATAAAATTAAATATAAAAATAGAATAATCAAACAATATATTTACAAAATAAATAAAAAAAAGAAAGACTCATAATTTCAAGATATTATTGGGCATGCAAAACTATTGTCTATTAGCTAGATTGTAATTATGAACACAAACTATCAAATTAATCAAAAAATTTAAAATTTTCATTTAAAAACTTAATTTGGATTGAAAATTATTTATAATTGAAGTCTAGATCAAGTGCTTTAAGAAGTGGGAAACACAGTAAAGATTGAGAAGAGTATGACTTGAATATTTTGATAGAGAGTTGTAGAAGGAAATTTTTGTCTTTCCATATAGTATTTATATATTAATATATAAATCACTTTTTGATAAATCTATTTTCACTTAAAATCTTTGACCCCACTCCTTACAAAATTGCAAAAAAAATTAATAGATTCATTACTGTATTAACTACATAAAACTCTAAATTAATAATATAACAAGTAAACACTTATTGTAAATGAGTGGTGTCATGTGACACCATTTCTTCTAAGGTAGGTCCACCCTTGATTGCATATAATTTGCATTACAAATATTTGTTAGGCAATAAGCTCTCAACAATGGGGTGCTTGTCATCATCCATAAAGGAGATGGTGGATCCACATTACTTTTTATGACAATAAACAAGTTGAGGGAATCAATTAACTAACTCCCTTCAATGATATCCTAAAGATACAAAAGTAGATTAGTTAATTGATTAATGTTGTCAAAATCAAACTCAACTAATTTATTAGATCGATTAAATCTAAAATATTCAATTCAAAAAATAACTAAGTGTATATCAAATTGCTTAAGAATCTAGCAACATTTCCATTAAACTGGACTTAATTAAATAAAACTAGATTGCAATTAATTTCAATCTATTAAATTAAGAAATAATTTCTTTTTTAAAAAAATGCAAGTAATTGGATTTAAACCCTAACCTCTTCTATTATTATTTAAATATAAACCATTAGATAATACATTTGTTATCAAGTATTTTTCACATTTAATTTTATTTAATAATCAAAACATATATTTAAATTATAAATACTAAGCCATCCAATTGAGGATTTGCCTCTTTCATCAATAACCAATCTAGTGTCTGTTTGATTTAGTTTTTTTTTTAGTTTATCTACCTCTTAAAAGTAAAATCTAAATTAAATAAATTTTAAAAAACTTTTTAAAAAATAAACTTTTTTAAAAATAAAATTTTAAAAAAAATTCTAAAAAAAGTTTTCGAAGAGAGCTTTCTCTTATGTTCTTTTAAAATTATGTCATCATTTCAAGAAATACTTTCTCTCACTGACATAACTATTTTTTATAATAATTTTAATCAAAAATTAAAATTTATATTAATTTATTTTACTAAATATTTACTGAACAGTTTTAATTTATTATATTTATAAAAACTTTTAAACTAACAAGTTCTTAATCTAATGCTACCGAAAGGCTACGGACTACCTAACCCACTTTGGAGTTGGATCTCTAATCCGTAGTTGATATTCTAAGCCTTGAATAAGGAATCCAAGTATATGACAAGAGCTAGTATTTATCAATTCCTTTTATAAATTTATAATTATGTAATAAAAATATATAACGGATTGGTTATTATAAAATTTATATATGCATAAAAGATAAGAGTAAAATGGCAGGCATTACCCACTACATCTCCTGACCTATGGGGTTAAACTATGATTACATCGATATCAAGGTGGTTCAACATAAATATAGGCATCGACAGAGCTTCTAGTGGTCGCTCCATTCTTTAATGGGGCGCACGTACCTACAGGCTACAAGCATTCTCACCCACCCCCACTTGATACCATAAACTTTTTTTTTTTTTTACCAAAAGATTATTTTATATATTGAAGTTGTAAAGTTTCAAGTAAATCACAAGTTTATTTTAAAGAATAAATAAATTATTATAATTTATATTTATAATTTTAATTTGTAAAAAAAAAAGTTAAATATGTTTTAAGTAATTTTTAAATAAATTAAACTCAAATCTACTTAACTCTGTTTTATAATTATCTTATCGTATGCAAAATTATCAAATCTAAATGCATCGTTTAAAAAGAAAAACAATACAATCTTATGCAGTTTATTTACATGATAAAAATTATTTAATTTGAGTCACATGATGATGTGTTGAGAATGAATTATTAAATAAATATATGCCAATTTATATAAATTATATTATAAATCAATGAGTCATTGTTTGATATTAAATACATGAGAATCAGAATCCAATGGAAATAAATTCTATTGAGCAATGTAATAACATAAAATCTGATTGCAAACCAATGGCTGAAACCTTTGAGATTAAATTTAATTAATGAAAATCAGCGTGTCATGGAAGGAAGAACGAATCCTTCCCCTTCCATATGGAACCAGTTTAATGAAGGAAAGAAATCCCAAAAAAATCCATATCCCTATCTATCTAGCTGTCCTCTGCATTCTTTTTGTCTCATTTATATCTAAAACATAATCATAATTGGAAATGAGGTACAACCTCGTCTATGGACGAAAGGGCCGTGTGTGAGGGCAGAGAGACCTCGCCCATGGACGAAAAGGACGTGGGTGAGGGAGGAGAGAGAGCATACCAAAATAATTAAAAAGACGTGGCCATTGATTTGTATTTTAAGAAGGAGAAAAAGAGAAATAAATAGAAAAGGACATGTAAAGATCAGAAAAGAGACAGATAAGAGGAGGAGAAGATGGAGATGCTTTACCTGTTACATGCAACGAATTACTTTCCACCTTGTCTTTTTCCTGATAACATATGATATTTGGTCCAACGTGGTCCTTCTCTTTCCTACTTACAAAGAATTAATAATAATAAATAAAAGAGAGAAAGTGGAAGGAATTGTGCAAAATGGGAAAGGTGTCTCCCTCGTGATTCTATGGGCACTCGATGGCATATTGGTTGCCTCCCTCTCCCTCCAAAGCCAAAGGTGGGTTTGGGTCTTATAAATTGCAACTCGCAAGACACAAATAACAGGGGATTAATTACTCCAATTTCGTCTCTATTGTCTGTTTATGCAGAGAGAAATGGTGAAAATGGCAAGTGAAGCGTTTTTTGTTGTTGTTGCTGCCGCTGCGGCCGTAGTGTTGGCCAATGCGTTGCCGGTGAGGAGCGAAACTGGGGGCGTGGAGAAGGATAACGTGAAGATATGGCCAATGCCGGCGTGGGTGAGTCACGGCCGTGGCCATCTTTACATGAGCAGTGATTTCGTGCTCTCCACAGAGGGGAGCGGCTATGGGGATGCGTCTGGGATACTCGAAGACGCATTCAACAGAATGCTTGCTGTCATCAAACTGGATCATGTTATTGATGCCAATTTTTCTGCATTGCATGATCAACCTCTACTCCAGGGTTTGCATATAGTTATTTCCTCTCCAAAGGACCAGGTTCCTCCTTCACTCTCTTTTATTGTTATTTCTATTGTTTTCACCCCTTTTTACCCATTACCCATTACCCATTGCCCATTTGTAGGATTTCTTTTTTGTGCTTTCCGTTAACAAAAGAGAATTAAAACAAAAAGGAAAAAGGTTTGAGATTGACATATATTCATATACAAATTAAAGTTCTTTCCTTGTCTGAGAATGTCGTGTTGTACACAAAACCCAGGTCAAAGGTTTATTCTATAAACGCTGATAACGAAGTTATAAGTTACTATTACGATTGGTGGAGCCTTTGATTTAAGACGGTGATTAATGCTTGTTTGATTTGGTGTAATTCCTTTGTGGTTTTGGTTGCAGCTACAATACGGCATTGATGAGTCGTACAAATTGATGGTCCCGTCACCAGAAAAGCCAGCTTACGCCCATCTTGTGGTAGGCCTAACCAATCCTATTTGTGTCATCTTTTCTTTTTTTGATTTATTTATTTTATTGTTTATATTTTTGGGAACTCTTGGAGGAAGGGATGCACTTATGTCACGTATGGTTGAACTAAGTACTCAAACTGCATTTGTGTCATCTACTTAAGTCATAAGCCATTGCAACAAACGCTTACTTAATGATTTCAGAATCAACCCCTCCTTCTGTTTCCTTCAAATCCTTCATTATTTATGTTAAGTCAGCATCGTTGGGTGACCAATTAGACAAATCTTTAAGCTGTCAGCAAATGGCTCCAGTTTTATATTTATGTCCGAGCAATGTAATTGTTGAATTTTAACTTAATATTCTGAGGACTTTCATTGGCCTATTTTAAATTAGTATTTTATCGATTGCTACTCCATCACATCATATAAAATCACTTACCATACCCTTATACTCCAACTTTATGGGTGTGTTTTCTGGAAGGATTATGCCTTTCCAGTACCTTTTCTTTACTCTTTCACAAGAGGCAAATTACAAAAATCTACCCAAAGGTTAGGCTTGATGTGAGGTTGTGTGCTAGACAAAATTCCAAAATATTGGTAGTTTAAATTCACTAGTTTATTTGAATTAACCGCTAATTATATAATCAACTCAGTACTGTTACAAAATAATGCAGGCGCAGACGGTTTATGGTGCTTTACATGGCCTTCAGGTTAGTGCTTATAATTCTTGTTGCAAAGTTGTCTTTGTTCTTGACTTTATTGTAAATTCAAAATTCTTAGAAATATGTGGTTTGTCATACAATGTTGCAGACATTCAGCCAATTATGCCATTTTAACTTTACAAGCAGGGTCATTGAAGTTCACATGTCCCCATGGACTATCATTGATCAACCAAGATTTTCTTACCGAGGCCTCTTAATTGGTGAGATGCTTCACTTCTATAACATGTTTAAGTGGTTCATGGTCTTTATTTCCTTTGAAACTATGATATCTATTTTTGACTTACATAGAAATAATTAGGGACTTATTTATGGTATTCTGCTTTAGCTGTTAGCTATAATTAAAATATATTGTTTACTGCCCATTTTGGCAATTCTGCATCTTCAGCAATCAGCAAGATGAGAGGTGGAATAGCAGTTAAGCTGCCGATCTTCATGGGTTTGAGAAAATTATACCAAGAAAAAAGCCTATTTTTTTTAATCCTGTTTTCTGTTTCATTACAATGTTTTGTCTTTTTGATGTGCAGATACGGCTCGTCACTATCTGCCTTTGCCAGTTATTAAGAAAGTTGTTGATTCTATGACCTATGCAAAGCTGGTATGTAATGCATTAATAACAAATTTCAACTGGAATATTTTTCTCCTCCTGATTGTTTTCACCAAGTGGAGATTTTTTTAATGCAACAGAATGAGATTTAGCCTAAATGCAGTAACTGTTTCTTGGTTTCTCACAGAATGTATTGCACTGGCACATTGTAGATACACAATCTTTTCCTTTGGAGATACCTTCATATCCCAAATTGTGGAATGGTGCTTATTCAACTTCAGAACGATATTCAGTGGCTGATGCTGCTGAAATTGTGAGGCATGTGATTTACCTCTTTCTCACATGATTCAAATAATAATTACTACTCTGATTACTTTGATTCTTTTTGATATGTTTATTTTTAATCTTTGCAGTTATGCTCAAAAAAGAGGAATAAATGTATTGGCTGAAATTGATGTTCCGGGACATGCTCTCTCATGGTAGCATAAACTTTCTCCATTTTTAAAGTATAATCTTCTTATTGCTAGTAAATATGCTTTGTTTCACAAATAAGCATTACTTTATCGTATATGAAGATGCTAATTTTTGTGCGTATCATAAAGGTTCTTTGGAAATTTTAGTTAGGACTCTTTAAAATGATGGAGATATCAGGCTCTAATATCTTATTTAGTGAATGAAAGTTACAAAGAGTAAAAACTTAAGCTTTCTGATAATTGAGCATGGACTTTAGGCTGGTAATTTAACTATGATTACCTCAACATAGGTACTCTTGAGGTGGAGAATGCTGAAGAATTTATTGAGGACACACGGTACAAAATTGTGTGCAATGGCTAAATTTATAGTTTTAGGTTTGCAGAATGCAGAGGAGGGTTTTCTATAGTGCAAGGATTATAGATACTGGCTCAGATACAAGGAGGGGTGGGATTTGAAAGAATATGTTTTGTAATGAACATAGAAATTATTACATAAGCAGGAGAAGAAGTGAGCTAAGAGAATTAAGGTCTAGGTAAGTTTGTAAGTTTCAACTATTTAGAATTCTAGATAGATAGATATACAGCCCTTAGATAAATCTTAATAATAAGTACATGGAAATCTTAGGCCATTTGATGATTGGATATTTGGACAAGCCAAATGAGAAGAATATTCTTGATAACTTACTGCTATAGTTTTTTAATTGTAGTCCCATGGTTCTTGAACTACTAGTAGCAATATTCCGGTAACTCATCTATGCTTTCTTTCCCCAAGAAGGTGAAAAGAACTAGTGCAAAGCACACTGCTGGAAAGTGCATGATCTGGAAATTTCTTTAAAATTAGCATTGATTATGGGTTACATCTTTCCCTTTTTATTGAAGAATGAATACTGGCTGACTGTACTTGCAGCAACAACCAAATGTACTTGAAGTAAGCTCAGCTAAAATAAGGTCATTTTTTTTTGTAGTTTACTCCTTTGTCAGAAGTGTTAATGATAGGATATGATCAAAGTTATGGAAAATTGATTTTGTTTCTGATGGTTAATCAAAACATCAAGGCTTTAGATTTAACTATACATTAGGGAAGGTTTTTAGGGGGGAAAATTGAAGAACATTTTTAGGTGTAAATTGGAAGTTTCAGCAGCTGATATTTTGCAACTTTAGATCCCCAGAACATCCAATGTGCTAGTGCCGGTACTGATACTTCCTTCTCTATTTTAGCTAGTATATGGAAGTTAGAGGCTACTTCTTCTTTGAGCTTCTCCAGCTTTGCGTTTGCTGTCAGTTGTTCTCATGATAGCTAGACTCAACAACTCCCTAATCTTGGGTACAGAGAATTGTTGATGAATCCTGCTAGTTTTACTACCTTTTTCCTTTACTAGATAACTAGAAAGTGCATCATTTCATCTCTTCTAGAAGAAATAAGAATAGTTTCAATTCTCTTATTAAAAGGTTGTGGTACAACTTAAACATATAAGGAAATTCTAAGACCAGGACAAGCAATTTGAGAGAAAGTTGCATGCAATAATATGTGGTTTTCTTAGGAGAGAATTGAAATTAAACAGCAATTGCTCACGGCACCACTATCATCTTTGTCAAATGTTCCATTTAATTACGAAGATTGATGACCCAAATTATACTAAAATATATTTTCGACAAACCCAACTATGTGGTTTGGATGACCCAAATTATAATAAAATAGTAGGTGTTGCATATTAAATATATTCAAATATACTTGTGATATAAATGCAAGCGACAAATGCAAATATATAGATATTGCAAAATGGAAGTCAGAGAGTGTGTGCAAAAATTATATGCTGTATATTGGCCTTCTCTTATATTATTTGGATTAACTTTGGTTTTAATTCTTTAGGGGGACTGGTTATCCTTCTTTATGGCCATCTAAGGACTGTCAGCAGCCGCTTGATGTCAGCAATGAATTTACATTTAAAGTCATAAATGGAATTCTTTCAGGTGATCTCCTTACTTTCCCTTCAATTCATTACTTTTATTAAGAAATGACTCAGCATATTTTCTTTCTTATATAGAACAAAATGAAAGGAAATTTAACAAACAACATTGGAATTTTTGTTCAGATTTCAGCAAGATCTTTAAATTTAAATTTGTTCACTTGGGAGGGGATGAAGTTGATACAAGTAAGTTAAATCGTACTATCTTATAGCTCCTACTGATATTATTATCGATATTGTCTATCATGCTAATTGTTATATTTGGTTTGAGGCTTTTTTTGGGATAAAATTATTTTCTTAACAAAAATCTTTGTGGTAGATGAGGGTAACCTTATCATAGGAGTACTTAGATATTCTTGATTTATTTTGTTGCATACTTCGAACTGTGTTCTTAGGATTTCTTGAAGTTGTTGCTTTCTATTAGCATAATTCACATCAACTCATTTCAATTGCTTTAAATGTTCAACCAGAATGGAAAAGGTATTTTGGTCAAGCTTATGTTAAAAATCTAAATGAACATTCTGTGACCTAAAGCTACTGCATGATCCTTATACCCTAAATTCTCTGATAATATATGACTTCCAAAATATAATATTTTCTCTAGCTCTTGTGTTTGGCCCAAAGTTGTTGACCCTTTGTTCAATTCTGTGGTAATGGCCACCAAACGAAAAAAAGTGAAGAAAATGAGAAATTAACAAAGATGGTAAAATGGAAAGGGTTTTATTCTAGATATTTTGGGTTTTTATATTTTCATGAATAGTTTCTCTAAGTGACAACTTTGTAAGGAACCTAGCCTCTGTGCTATGTATGTTGATAGATTTTGACTTCCTAGTGTTGGGAAAAGCTGTGCAAATCAGTATCATGTGTAGCGGATATTTAAAATTTTTCCCTCAAGCAAGATCAACAATAGTTGCTTAATATAAATAAATCCTAGCTAGTTGATAGAAATTTTTACTTTAAAGCCTTCATTGTCGAAATCAATAGGCAATTCAAAAAGGATGTTGAAAACTTCTCCCCACGGAGTTAGGTTGTTGCAAACCTTAAGTTGTCCAAGTGTCTAGCTTCTAATGGTGATCTACACATACTTCAAATAGAATAATACCAATGGTGGTTAGGGGTTTGTTTTTGCTGCTAAGCCTAGTGCTAGTTAGGATGAGGCTAACCAGGTTTCTCACTTCCCAAGGAAAACCAAAAACCAAAAATGCAAGAGGAAGAAAAGGAGAAGTCGTCGATACTGAAGGATACACCACCAAAATCGATACCTAGGGTATCGCACTAGGAGCCACCAATATCCAGGGATAAGGGGGCTGCTTGGCTGCTGAAATCTCACCTCTCAATTCTCAATTGCCTCTCAGGGTTTTGTATGCCAGTTGTAGTGCCTTAAATTTCCGCATAAACATCTTATTTATAGGCAAATATGCTAATGCTTGGCTTTCGAAACAAAAAAAAAAAGCTAATCCTATTCCCATTTTGCCTTGACAAAATTGAACTTATTCAATTAAATCCTTGAAGTTTGTATTATACTTCTTTTCAATTAAGTTCCACTTAATCCCCAATTTTATATTTTTACATTAAAATCCTTAATGTGTGACCCATTAGGTTTTACATATGGTGGAAATAAATATGCATTAGAATTAGTTTGATAAGGGATAGATGAATCAATCATTTAGGATTTTTCATCGATTCACTAATTGATTAGTTCATATTTATAAGTCAAGATTGAAATCTAGCAATATTTTATGACTATCTATATATTTAGAAGAGTCAAAAGAGGTTTGATTAAACCTTTCAGTACTCAGTTTATCAATGTATTTTAATCACTTATCATCCAATTCCTTGATAAGATATAGAGCATGATATAGTATCTACTCTATGTTTGTCTTTATCATTTTAGATCTTGCAATCTTCTAACTCATTAGTGATATTCAAAAACTCATTTTTGAATCTTAATTCAATTTTGGCCAAAGATTTGATTGAGCAAAGTCATGCTAAGAGTCAATGGGATATCTCTCTTAGATCACTTAGGCTGATGTGTCTTGTAACTATCATTTATTTATTTTCATGTGGTTCATGCTATACTTAACATATACTCAATTGTATATCCTTGGCTAGGACTACCTAGGGTAATATCACAAAATATTAATCCCATCATAAGATAACTTGATAATTTTAAGTCTAAGGATTACTTACAAAACTGACACATGAGAATGTTTTCATAAACACTTGAGTCATATACCTAATAGAATTCTCATGATGGGTCATGTTCAATGAACTTATTATTGTAACAAGCATCGTTCTGTTATTTTCAAATATCCAATGCTTTAATCTATGAAATTAATTGTTTATTTCATAAGTAAGAGACATAACATATGCTAATTTCTTAGGTTATGTTATTGCTATGTCTTGATAAAGTATTGACTAGGAATTGTTTAAGAGTAATGCTTTGATACAGTGAGTATTGCATAATTAGAACATATTATAATGGATAAAATACGTTGACCTCTTTAAGTTTTGACCATAATTACATGTGGGTCCATTAGAAATGAAAACGGACAGTCCATCCCAAAAGAATATTTTTGTTGGACACGTAAGTCTTATCGTTAGTCAACTATCAATGTTTCCGTTGGTTTGATGATAGGGCAATATTTTTAAGACAATTTTTCTCTTCATTAATTTTAAAAATGACCACAGTATATAAACTAATTTTACATTTTTTAATTTTTTTCTCCTCTATTAAAAAAAAATAAAATCTCTCTACCCTACCTTTCCTTTCTTTTAGGCAAGTCAGTGTCTTTCCCTTACACCGGGTGGTCACGCCGCAGCCGAATTTGGTTGTGGAATGCCAAACCAAACTGAATATCCCCATATCACGCTTCCTTGGTGGAGCGCAATCTCAACGCTCCCCTTCCCCTATGGGACCACTTACCAGGCTCTGGCCATGCTCCCCTTCCCTTAGGGGAGTGTCGACTAGGGGAGGGAAGAGCATGGCTAGATCCAAGATCGCACTTCCTTAGGGGAGCGCGATCTGGGGAGATCTAGCCGGATTTGGCATTCCACAGCTAGGTCCGGCCGAAGGGTGGTCGACTGGTCTAAGGGAGCATCGCCGGCCGGCTTGAGAATAAGGAATATAGTGAAAGAAGGAAAAAAAGAATAAGAAGGGTATTTTAGACATTTCACTTTTACCAATTAACATTGTTTATATGTTTGGGGCGGACTGTCCATTTTGAATACTGATGGACCTGCATGTAATTATGATCTAACCTTAGGTAGGTCAGTGTATTTTACCCTGTTATAATTCTTATGCAAAATATATTAACTTCAAGGACTTTATCACCTAGACCTTTATTGAGTAACATGACAATTAACTGAAATTCTAAACTCTCTCTAGACTGAGCTCTAAGGTTATCTCTTAAGAGGTAAAAACTTGTTGCTAGCATTCTCGTCTTCATAGAATGATCTCTGGTTCATCATATCAATATCAAACAAGTTGTCTCTAGAACATAGTTTATGAAAGAGGGCAAGAGGCACATATCTTATGTACTTATTCATCATTTTCTAAACACTATGCTTTGCAATATGTTTTATATAATTTTAAGTTTGTCATTATACATTTATATCTTAACAATTTGAGGTTAATAGTTTATTGATCTGACCCCTTGTATTTCTAATTTCAGGTTGTTGGACTTCAACCCCTCATATAAGCAAATGGTAAGAAGTTTAGTATTGCACCATTGAATGGAAATGACTATTTATTTTGATTATCTGTTTATTCTACATTACAAACTTTACGGAAACTAGTTTTAAACCGGTGCGATGCATGAAAATTCAAATATATATCAATAATTTCATTTAGAATATAAGTTATTAAATTTATAAAGAAACCATAATTTATATATTGCAATTTTGTTTTCAATTTGGTATATCTCAATTAAGTGAAAAAATTGACATTGAAGATAAATATGTAACTTTTATCTTATTTATTATTTATAAAAATCAAGAAAATGTCATGAATCTCAAACTTTTTTCAACAATCGATTCCTTTAAGTTAAAACAAACTTGGTTCCATTAGGTCTCATACTCTTCTTGGTTTTCATTTAGAAGAACATTCCATGTGATTTTCATTGGGTTTTTGCTAAAGTTTTCCTGCATCTTTTGCATTTCTTCAATTGAAAATTTTGAAATAATTTCTTTCACAAAAAATTGGGGTTTAGGGTTTTGGAAAAACTAGTTCAATGTTGATTAAGTCTTTAAAAATTATATTTTGGTTCAAGTTGATAATGACACTTGAAAGTATGCTTTGTTCAAGTTTGTTCAATTTCTTTTAAAAGTATATGTGCCATCATGTGAAAATAAAACCAAAAATTAATTTAGATGTGAAGATGAAAGATAAAAATGTAAATTAATTTCTTTTCAAAGCAAAATGGAGAAAAACTTGATGAACTAACATAAAAGACTAAAAACTTGAAAAGTAGAAACATTTTTGTAAATAACTTTTTAATATTGTTTTCATAACAAACCATAATTAATTTTCTTATAGTTATTTAGTTTAATAGCTAACGTAGTTCATACTAGAGGTGTCCATCAATCAAGCCTCGTTTTTCAAGTATCAAGCCCAAGGTTGGTCTGACTCGTCCATTTATATACTACTTTATTATTAAAAGAATAAAACATTATGTTATATTATCATTTTAATATTCTAAAATATTTTTATAATTAAAATTAGATAAAAATATAATACTTATTAATAAAATAATATAGTCGTGTTGGGTCGGGCTGGGCGTGCTCATGGGCTGCATGAGCAGTTCAGCTCATAAACACCTTTGATTCATAGTTTATACTTTATAGTTTGAAAATGTGCATGTGTCGTGTTGGGTCTCCCTTTTCAAACAAAAATTTAATATTTATTAATAAAATAAAATAGTCGAGTTGGGCCGGCTGGGCCTGCAGGCCTAGGTAAGTAGCTTGGCCCATGGGCACCTCTAGTTCCTAGTTTATAGTTCATAATTGAAAAGAAACTTTATTGTCAACGTTAATAATACATAATAATTAGACAAATATGTTGATGAAACTAATAGAAAAGATAAAAACTTGAAAAATTAAACATTAAACAATTGAATCAAACACAAATATTAGAAAAAATTAATTAATTAACTTTAAACACAACTTTTTTTGAAAAGTAACCTTGAACACAATTAAAGGTAATTGACCAATGAAGAAACAAAGAAATTGATCCAATAAAAAAAATTTGAATAAGAACATAAAAAAAAAATGTATTGAGATCACAGTCTTTTGGGTCTAAGCATAACTAATATCCAGCACAACTAAATGGAAAAAAAAAAGATGTAAACCAAATGCAAAAACAAAATTTACAGCAAATCTAAATGTAACAGTTGTACAAATGAAGCCAAATGGAATCCTTGAAGAAACAAACAAATGGAGCAAATATATATTTAAAGAAACAAAAAAAAAAAAGAGAAATAAAATGCAGAAAAAATAGTGAAGCATACCTTCAAACCCATATTCTAACCCACATAGTGGAGTCACATATATAGTAGTCAAAATAACTGTACAAGGGAAGAATATTGAAGATTCAAAAGGGAAAAAAATAATTAATTTAGTTGGAATATTTTATTTTATTTAATGTGTATTGAGTTAAATCAAATTCGCTAATAAGAGGACATATAGCACATGTTCAAGCTATTTTCATGTTAGAAAGGTAAGGTATGCACATAACACATTTTGTTTTTGCCAAAAAGTTGTCTTATATATATATTGATATTAGATGTTACTACTGTTCTTTTTCAAAGATTTATCTTGCTTATTGTTGTTCTTAGATTGTCCACCTAGGAAAATTTGTGATGCCATTGAATGGCCAAAAGAGAAGTTTTTCTGTCCATATCTTTTAGTAGTTTTTGATGTAACATTATCTTAGCCTACCTCAACTCATGGGAAGACTCTTAGTTTGTTGTCGTTATAACATTATCTATTTCATCAATTTCCTTTGTGTTCCTTTGATGCATTCAGTACCACCTAAAGCTGCCATTGCTTAAATTACTTCATACTGGTTCTGTTATTGTTGTAATTAGTACATGAACGTCATACTTCTTAACTTCTTTTATTTAATTCCATATGATTCATCATGGCACGATATTTATTGCGTTCCCAAAATCTGTATCATCTAGAGGGTCTCTTACTCTCTTGCCGGTTGGTTTGCAGGTTAAAAAAGAATGGTATGAATGAATCTCAAGCATATCAGTACTTTGTCTTGCGAGCACAAAATTTAGCTTTGTCCCATGGATATGAAATTGTTAACTGGTATTCATCTTCTAGACTATTTAGTCAGACAACAATTTTTTACATCCTATTCACATATAGAATATAACAGGGAGGAGACCTTCAACAACTTTGGCAATAAATTGAGCAGGAAGACTGTGGTTCACAATTGGTATGTCATACTCTTTATAACTCAAACGTGGAGAATTTTTTATGCATTATGTCATTCTATAGACCTGGTGCGGCTTCTTTTTGCAAAGAGAGCTTTTTTCAAAAAAAAAAAAAAACACAAAAATACAAAAAAAATGCAAAGCATGTTGTCTGTTTTTCTTCCCCTTTGTTGCAGAGAAGTACTCTATAGTTCTATACTGTATATTAAAGTAGTTTTAAGGTGAGAAGTTCTTGAAGACAGAATACCATATTGCAATTTAACTCTATCTAATGAAATTTATCATTTTATAATGTCAAATTATGCAATTAGTCCTTATACTCTATCAAAGTGGTGGATTTAGTCCTCGTACAATAATTTGTAAAAATTGAGCCCCTGTATAATAATTTGTAAAAATTGAGTCCCTGTACTTTCCAAAATTGACAATGCCAGTCCAATGGTTAACGGTGTTAACAATCTTCTGTTATCTAATAATACCATGTAGGAAAACTAGCATTAACAGTTTAATTGATAAAATCTTGTGTACCAACAACAACAAATGTGTATGAATTACAATAATTATGTCTTACTACACTTTTATGTGGGGTTGTAATTTAGTTGAGCCAAGTCGTTACAATGCCAAGCTTGAGCTTGGCTCAATCTTGATCAAGTTATAATTTTTTCCCTTGAGGTTAACTCAATTACTAATTGAGCTACTTAGACTCAACTCCATTAGTCTGGACTATCATTAACTTAAAGTAAGAAACTTAAAACTTGACTCAGGCTCAAGTTTAAATTCGAAACACAAATAAAAGTTAAATTTAATAAATAATATTATATTTTATCTATACATATATAATACTCTCCCTATTTCAAATTGAATATCCACTTTTCAAATGGCATAAAGTTTTAGGAATAAAACATGTTCTTTATTTTACCACTTTTGTCCTTAAAAGTTGTAAAAGTTAGAGGATATCACCTGGAATTAGTATTCAAAGAAGGGAAACATTGGAAAAGTGTTTTTCATTTTGGAAAATGGATATTATTTTGAAATATCCTAAAATAGTAAAGTAGAAGTTTAATTTAAAATGGAGGGAGTATTAAAAAACATGAAAACTTGATAAGTTTTGCAAGTCACATGAGTTGTGTATTGTGCTTGAATTTGGCTCGAGCTATTACTTCAGTGGTACCAGCTTGAGCTTGGCTTGATAGTGAACAAATCAAACTCAAGTATTCTTCAAATTGAGCTTGAACAGCTCATAAGTAGCTCAATTTACCGACACTCCTACTTTTATGGTTTTAAAATTTCATTTAAAATTAATAAAGTTGAAATATTGTTTTCCAAATACAAAAAGTTATTAGAAATTAGTAATATTCCTTGTGTAATATGATTCATGTGCAATTGCATGTAGGGTATCTTGTAGACTGAGCAAAGCATGGGCGTGTTTTTTGAGCCATGACTTGTTTCTTGGGGCAGGATAGTACTGGAAGCCTCAATTCTTATTTGTACCCTCTAGTGAGTGTTAATAAGGGTCTGGTAGATGGTAGTTGAAGCTTCTGTGCATGTGCATTTTCTTCTCAACCGAAAAAAAAAAAGAAAAATAATAGTAACAATAAAATTAAAAGCCTTTCTGCATGCATTTTATTTTCATTATTTCCTGCAACTGTTTAAAACTATGGATTGTATCAACTGGTTCAACTGGTTGAATCAGGAATCGGTTACTTATCCAGTTCAAAGCACACCTGCCAACTAGATTTGGTCAAAGGCCAGTTGGAATTGGCATGGTCAAATTAGCAGACTGGTTTTAATTTATAAAAATCAGATTTGATTACAATTTTACTTCTAAAATTTTTTTGGAAGTTGGGTTGTTTGAACTATGATCCTCTTAATTGTTATAAAACAATTAAAACCCGAGCTAAACACTCTTTTTTATTGTTAGCTTTTAACATGTTAATACCTATGTCGCCTTGTTTCCTAGGACAGGGTGCTACTAGATAACTTAATTTTTAGTTGTACCCACATCCATTGACATTAAAAAGGGTCTAGTAAAAGGTGGAGCCTTGTGCATGCATTATATTTTGCATTCTTATACAGCTGTTGTTTCAAAAATGGATTGGACGAGCTGGTTCTATCAGTTGAATTGGGATCAATTGCTTGTCCTGTTTGGAACACAACCATCACCTTATATATGGTCAAAAATCTGTCAAAAGGTTGAACCGGACCAGATTGGTTTGATTTACCAAAATCAAATTTAAATTACATTTTAGAAATTTTATAAGTTGTGAGGTGTGAACTCTTACCTCATTCAATTTTTAAAGAACAGTTAAAACATTTGAGCTAAAAATTTAAATTACTCTCGACTTTCTTGGCAAACCTATTGGATCTAGAAATGATCTCCCAAATGGTTATTTGTCCAATCTAACTTTAGAAACATATAAAATTTTAGATTCCTTGTTTATACTGCCTATAATTTACTCGGAGTGATGGCATGTCAATGCTGTAATATATATTGTTTGATCGAAGATTTCAGGTGTGAACTTTTGCTTAAGATTTCTTTGGCAGGCTTGGTGGTGGTATTGCCCGAAAAGTGGTTGCATCTGGGTTAAGGTGCATTGTAAGCAACCAGGACAAATGGTACTTGGACCACTTGGACACTACGTGGCAAGAATTCTATACAAATGAGCCTCTCACAAATATTACAAACTTGAAACAACAGAAATTAGTTATTGGAGGAGAGGTATGCATGTGGGGTGAAAGCATTGATGGTTCAGATATTGAACAAACCATATGGCCACGTGCTGCAGCAGCTGCAGGTATTTAATATAATATCTTAACATTAGATTTCTTGCATACTATGGTGTTCTTGCTATACAAGAAATACCAATACCCTAGATTCCACCATTCTAAGGTGGAATTATTAGGTCAGCACGTGGAGCTCCCCTATTCAATATTGAGTATCTTCAGCTTCTCACATGGAAAAAATGTTTTTGAAAAACATTTTTACATACTCTCTTTCTTATTCCATAAACAGGATGAATTTTATTAGATTAGGGAAATACTTGTTGTTTATTCTATAGGAAAATGAAAAACTACTAGTACATTAAGGTTTACACGGGAAAGTAACTGCCAAGTATGATTGTTCTTTCCATCCTTCTGTTCTCTTCTTTTTACCCCTATATAGCTAGTGCAATTTTTAACATGCACCCTTTGTTTTTTAAGTTATGACTAAAAATGCTGCCTTGAGTTGTTTGAAATTCTGAAAAAATAGAAAATATTTAAAATGGTTTGGGAATGTGATTTATGTCGTATGCTTCCAAGCAACCAACTTCTACGACTTCTGGACAGTTAAATAGGCTGTAGGAGTCGTGGGTGGGAATGTATGGTGGGGCTGAATCCATTTTAGTCGAGTCATCTTCATATGTTGCTTGTTATGTCTGCATATGAAGTTAATTTCACTGGTTTTTGTTTCTGTTGTGCTTTAAGGTAATTGTAAGTAGTCCTTTATTATCAGAAATTATTTCTGGATAGAAGCGCCTTTAAATTTTCGTGTTTAATATGGGATGAAATTATGCTTTATTTTTTGAAAGAATGCCCTTAGTAACATGGCATAGAGACTCCTTATTAACTTTAGTTTTAAATTCTATTGAAAATTCAGAAACCTAAACTGAAACTGAAGTATTGTCTTGATTTTCGTCCCACTAACCACAATCTTCCTTTCCCTATCGAAATTGAAGAGCGGCTGTGGACACCCTATGACGAGCTGGCAAAGGATCCAAGGCAAGTAACAGGAAGGTTGGCACACTTCAGGTGTTTACTGAATCAAAGAGGAGTTGCAGCTGCTCCATTAGCTGGACAAGGCCGTGCTGCCCCTGAAGGTCCAGGTTCTTGCTATGCGCAATAATTTGCTGAATCACTTGTATCAACTGATTCCTAGTTGTTAATTAGGCATTGGACTGGAATAACTCCCATTTCTGTGTCCCTTACAATAATAGCCAATAGGGGATGCTTCTGGTAAAAGGTCAGATTATTCTATCAATGCAAGTCTCATTTTCCAATATGCAAGGAGGGAAAGAATGCAGCGGGTGATGATCTCTAATAAAGCAGGGTTTGAATCTCTAGTGCTTTTGATAAAGGCAAAAAAATCTAATCATCGAATGCCATGACTCTTTAAAAAAAAAAACGAAATTTAACAATTAATTAATTATTATTATGAATATTTTTATGAATATTCATTTATGTTATCTATATTTCTATTTGATGTAAATTAGATTGGATTCGAATTTAATATATTTAATCTCTAAGTGTTATCTTTATCTTGTAAATGGGTTATTTGTCTATAAATAAGCTCTCTTAGTTTATTTGTATACACACTTCAATAAGATTTCTTTTCTCTCCTTAAATACTTTTTTTCCTTCTAAATACTTTCTCTTATATTTTTCTTATAGTTGTTCTTTTAGATTTATTTCATAACACGTTATCGGTACGATTCTCTGATCTCTCAAGTTTTAGAATTATTATGTTTTCACCATCTTCAAACCTTAAAAAGATTTCAATGATTGGGTTTTTGATTTATTGTTTTAAAAAAAATCAGGTAAGTGACTTGATATCTCTTTAGTATTTTCATTCTTTTAAAATTAACGTTAATATGAATTTTACTATTATATTATATATATTATATTTTGCCTCTTGATTAGAAAGTGAATTTGCTATTATATAACTATTAATGAAAAACTATGAATGTTCATTTTTTGAAGTGAATGTAACAAATGAGCTACTAAAAAAGAAAAATTATGAATGTTCATTTTTTAAAGTGAATGTGATAAACGAAATTTTAATAAAAAAAATTATAAATTCGTGCATTTCTTGAAATAAATGAGACATTATTATGATCATAATCATGAATCTATCCATTCCTTTAAATGAATGCAATATCATGTAATTATGATGGCCATAACAATTTACATTAATATTATTTTAATTATTATTTTATCATCAAAAGTGGATGGATATTTTATTATTTAAATTTAAGAATAATTTTACCACTAAAAGTGGATAGATAATTTTATCATAAAAAATGGATGGATGCTTATAATCCATTAGAAATGGATAACCCATCATGTATGAATCACCCACCAAAAGTAGATGTATACTTGTAACTTAACATAAACAGATGAATACTTTCAACGTATCAAAAGTAGATGAATACCTTAATCCACTAGCTTACCAGAAATGGGTAACTTATCAAGAAGTAGATGAATATCAGAAGTTAATAAATAATGAAAAGAATAAAATGAATATAGAAAACATATTGTTATTGATATGACGTGAAAAATCATTAGTCACGCACTTGTTATACGTCTTAATTTTATCAAGCATCACTGAAAATTAAAATATCTTGGGATAATTTTAATCATGGCCAAGTTGATATAGCATATGAAAATATTTGTTCACCATGAAAGAGGAATGGATTACATGATTGGTAATAAAAATATTTATTATTGATTTTTTTGTCTTGAAAAAGGAAGTGATCATTTTGTTGGTAATAGAAATATTCGAGAATGAACTTAATAATAATTAGTATATTTAGTATAACTATATTATGAAGATGCTTTAATATGTTTTCATTATATTTAAATGATATGTTCTTATTATGTATTTTAATTATATATTTAATATTCTTTTATGTTAACTTACAAGTTTGTTATTGTATATATTTTATTTTATTGAAGAAAATATGGATATTCATCTTGTTGGATCCAAGATCTATTATATAAATATATGTCTAGCAAACATTGCTACAACACACATATATTTAAAGACATTGAAAAAAAATCAATGTCAATTAAATATTTGATAGTACAAGATTAATTGGAAGCTCTAAAAGAGCTAATATTTTACTATCTTGAGGAATAAAGCAATAGAGGATATATTATTTTAAGTTTCAAAGAAGTTTATTAAATTTTAAAGATATTCGTTTGATGGATATCATATTGAGACAACGAAAGAAAGAGACACTTAATACCTTTATATTACATCTATTATTTCAAGTAGAAGTGTGTGTTGAAAAAAAATTACTTGCTCTATTCTCAGAATTAAATTATATAAATATTATAATAATTGAAACTCATAATAAATCATAAGTTTACTAATGATTTTAATGTTTGACATGACCGGTTGGACCATCCCAGATCAATAATGATGCACAAAAAAAAAGATTAAAAATTTATACGATCATTTATTGAAAAATCATAAGATTTTTCAATTTAATGAATTTTATGTGCTGCTTGCTCTGAAGGCAAATAAATTATAAGGCTATCATCAGCTAAAGTTGGGATTGAATTCCCTACGTATTTGAATAATATTCAAGGTTATATGTGAATTCATACATCCACCATGTGAACTATTTAGATATTTTACGGTTTTAATCGATGCATCGACTAGATGGTCACATATGTACTTATTATCAACTTGCAATTTAGCATTTGTAATCATTCGTTTGCAAGCACATTTTTCTAATTAAATAATCAAGATTATTTGTCTTGATAATGCTGGTGGATTTACATCTCAAGCCTTTAATATGGCATATTAGTTGAAATAACTATTGAACAGCTTGTTGCTTATGTTTATATACAAAATGGTCTAACAGAATCGTTTATTAAACACTTTCAACTGATTGCAAGGTCATTACTTATGAAATTCAAACTCCCAATGACTGCTTTGGGGCATGCCATTTTAGATGCAGCAACATTTGTATGATCAGGTCAAATGAATTATGATAAATTCTCCCTTATACATTTTGTTTATGGTCAGGAACCAAATATTTCCCATTTAAAAATTTTTTGATGTATGGTATATGTTTCAATTGCTCCACCACAACGCACAAAGATGAGTCCTCAAAAGAGATTATAAATATATGTTGGATATGAATCTTCATTTGTAATTAAATATCTAGAATTATCAATAGGAGATTTATTCATGATAAAATTTATCAATTGTCATATTGATGAAACAATTTTTCCAACATTAATGGGAGAAAAAAAATAAACAGTTGCAAAAGAAAATTTCTTAGAATGAATTATCATTATCTAGTTTTGATCATCGCAAAAATCAATATAAACTAGATTATTATTTTGTAAAATATAGTAAATCAGTTGTCAGACGTATTTACTAACCTAAAAGAATAACTAAATCTTATATACTAATTGCAAATGATCCTACTAGCACTGATGTCCTTGTAGGACAAGGCATGCCAGAAGCGTGGAGATCAATTGGTTCCAAAGATAAAATCTTCGAAAAAAAAAGAGCAAATATTTAAGATGATAAAAAAAGAAGCAGCAAAAAGTCTAGAAGAGACCCTTGACATAATTGAGAAAAATTTCAAAAAAAATTCAAGTACTTGAAATTATTGAAAGTGAAAAGATCTTAATCAATTATGTCATGACGGGAAAAGATGGAATTGATAAATAAATGTCGACGATATTTTATATATAATGTAGAGCTCAATATTATAAAAGAAAAACGAGGATCTTGAACTTCTATTTATTGAAGAATGTAAACAAAGGAATGATTGGCCAATGTGGAAAGACACAATTAAAGTGGAATTGAATTTAATTGCAAAATGTGAAGTTTTTGAACCTATAGTCCGTACATCAAATGATGTAAAACTAATAAGATATAAATAGATATTTGTGCAAATATGAAATGAGAAAAATGAGATTATGAGATATAAAGTACAGCTTGTCGCACAAGGTTTTATCTAAAAATCTAGTATTGAAGATGAAAAGATATTCTCTGTGGTGGATGCAATTACAATCCTATATTAACTAGTTTGACAATATATGAGAAGATTGAAATGCATCTAATGAATATAGCTACAGCTTATTTATATAGCTCATTTGATATCGATATCTATATGAAAATCCTTGAGGGATTTAAGTTGCATGAAGCACAAAATTTGAATTCTTGAGAAATTTATTCGATCAAATTAAATAAATATGTACATGGATTAAAGTAATCCAGACATATGTGATATAATTGCCTTAGTGCATATATATTGAAAGAAGGCTATAAAAATAATCCTATATGCCCATGTATATTATAAAAAGGTTTAAATAAGAATTATTATAATTACTGTCTATGTTGATGACTTGAACATTATTGAAACTCCTGAAGAGTTATCAAAAGCCGTGAATTACTTAAAAAGAGAATTTAAGATGAAAGATCTTGAAAAAATAAAGTTTTATTTTGGGTCTTTAGATTGAACATTTGACAAATCAAATTTTTGTCTATCAATCAAATTATATAGTAAAAGTGCTAAAACGATTTTATATGGACAAAGCATATCCATTAAGTTCACCAATGGATGTAAGGTCACTAAATGTGAAAAAAAAAAAAACTCTTTTCAACCTCGTGAGGATGATGAAGAAGTTTTTGATCTTGAAGTACCGTATCTTATTGCAATTGGAGCACTAATGTATCTTGCTAGCAATACAAGACTTGATATATGAATTGCTGTAAATTTATTAGCAAGATATAGTTCTTCTCCAACTTGAAGACATTGAAATTGAATTAAACATATACTTCGATATCTCCGAAGAACAATGGTAATAAAATTACATTATTCAAATGCATCAAAATAAATTTTAATTAATTATGCAGATGCAGAATATTCATCTGATCCACACAAAGCTCGATCATAGACAAGTTACTTGTTCACATATGGAGAAATTTGAGCAACTCATGAGCAAGTCATGAATGTGTCTAGTTAAGATATTTAACTCAATATATTTGAGAAACGTATAGATTGTCAACCAAGAAAGAAATTCCAACAACGTTATATGAAGATAATACTACTTGTATAGCATAGTAAAAGGAAGGATATATTAAAGGCGATTGAACAAAACACATAGTTCGCCAAAATCCTTCTTCACTGATGATTTCCAAGATAAAAGGTGAAATTAGTGTTCAATCAATGTAGTCAATTGACAATCTAACAGATTTGTTCACCAAAGCCCTCTTTACTACAACATTTGAAAAGTTGGTATAAAAGATTGGAATGCATCATTTTAAAGATCTCTATAATGCAGTCATCAAGAGGAATAAAATACGTACCGTACTCTTTTCCTTCATTAAGGTTTTTCCCACTTGGTTTTTCTTGATAAGGTTTTTAATGAGACAGTATTTCAAAAGCGTATTCTTGAAAAGAATTATGTATTCTTTTTCCTTCACTTGAATTTTTTTCCCATGAGGTTTTTTTCTAGTAAGGTTTTAACGAGGCATATACTTAATACAATGGATATTCAAGGAGTGTTATGAATATTTTTGTGAATATCCATTTATGTTATCTATATCTATATTTGATGTAAATTAGATTGGATTAGAATTTAATCTATCTAATCTCTAAGTGTTATCTTTATCTTGTAAAGAGGTTATTTGTCTATAAATAAACCCCCTTAGTTCATTTGTATATACACTTCAATAAGATTTCTTCTCTCCCCTTAAATACTTTCTTTCTCTCTAAATACTCTCTTATATTTCTCTTATAGTTGTTTTTTAAGATTTATTTCATAACAATTATTATTTATTTAAATATCACTGATTATTTTATCTATACACGTGATGTTAATACAAGGATGGTTAAAAATACAAGATTTTTTCTAAGTATCATGTTACATTTGTGGCACACTTATTACGTGCGTGGGAAAGAAATTAGGTTATCAAAACATGGGCCGTTTACCTTCTGAATGCATGTGGGATTCAAATTCAATTTCCCTAGTAATATGAAAGAACACACATTTTTAGTTCTATATCATGTTTTGAGTTGGTTTAACTTGATTTATGATACTAATCTCGAGTAATCCTTAAATTATTATTGGATGAAATTTTTATTTTTACTTTACTATTACCATTAAATAAGTTGAAATAGAATGCAAAACCTTATTCCAAAGTATAATCTCAGCATTTAACACTTCGCCTAGCAATGGTTCCTTAGCAAGTGTTGGCTCTGAATGTAAAAACTCATAAATGATTTAGACCCTAATCAACAAAACATAAGAGTATTTAGAGAAAGAGATATTTACATTTTAGCTTTAATATTTTTTGCATATTTACTTTCACTTCTAAGACATTCTACATTGCTACTTAAAGGTCCAACATTTTCCTACGTTAAATTTCATTTGCATTGCTAGCTTTGTGATCAAAACAAGAATATGCTGCAAACTTCACCTTCAAAGCAAAGAAAAATAGGTTATTCACAATCTACCACGTTCCCATCATAATGTAAGACATGCTTGTACAGATGATCCTAAAAGCTGACAATAATATCGATGTTACTCAAGTTGGCATTGTTTGCAATCGTATATGCTTATACTTTTGTTCCGTGTTGAAGCGTCTTGCACTTTCTGTAAACCCTTTTGATAAAAGAAGCTTCAGTGCATCAACTCCCTCTTGCAAAGCAGTATCAATCTTGTCCAACAACAAATGCAAAGTAGTACACAATGAAAATGACACTCCAAATTAGTATTAACCCATATTACTTAATCCATTTAAGTTTTAAACAATGTCTTTATCCTAAAGGCAATGCCTTTGGAAAACTAGGGTATCAAATTAAAAACCAAGGGATCAACCAATAACAGGTGGAACGATTCAAACCCAAAATATGTTACAAAGCATGGATGCATATACAAAGGGAGATACACACCAAGGATCATGTAAACCTATATATGAAAATCTATGTGTGCAAACGACTAAATGGTTTCTTCCCCCAATCTACATGTCAATAAAGAAGGCATACTTCACATCAACAGGGTGACACATCACAAAGCTAGAACCCTTTTCCTTCATCAGTATCAAAATTATATTCTCACACTTTGAATGGAAAAAAAGGCTCTGGAATATCAGTTTGTATTGCAGATACATATTAACTCAAAATACTTGTTTCAATTATAAGGAAATACTTTTCCTGCAAATTTATGCCAAGAATTTTCAATGTATTGGACTATTGTCCTTGAGTTCATAATTTTTGGAATACCGGATTAGGCTGGCTGGTGCTACATTAAATCCAGAGCAGACCAGCCAAATGGCCTCAATTTGAACATATTTAGTCAAGCTGCCGCCAAATAAAGCATTGGCAAGGGAGAGCTGGCCAGTTAGCAAAGTCTGGCAGTGGTGAGCTCACTGGCGACAAAAAAAAAAACAAAAAGAAAAGGAAGTACAAAGGGAAAAATAGAAGAACTGAAACAAAGATGTTATTTGCATGAATTACCCCTTGCACATATTAACTTTATTCAGCATATTTAACTGATTATTCTGCCAACTAAAACAAATTTTTAAGGGAATATTCCAAATCCCGTAACCCCCCTGGCTTGACTGTACTAAGTTTAGAGCACATAGCTTTTACTAAAAAAGCAATAAAAGTAGGTGGGATTAATTATATTTTATTTATAAAGTTTAAGTGCAAAATCAGGTATTATAACAAAACTTTTTCAGAACAAGATGTGAACTTCTTAAAAATTAGTTAATTATGGTCAAGCATGATCAAGCAGCGTATTAAATCTTACTCGTTCTCGAGCTGATGTATTAAACTTTTGCAGCAAAAATGCCTTAGGATCCATTTGACCAGGCGGCCCACCAATACCTAACAAACAAATCATGACAATTAAACTATTCAATGAAGAAATAGAGCAGCTATGAACTAGATGTGGTAATATTGGATTTCAAACTAACCAATTCGTAGCCGTGCAAATTCTCTGTTCCCACGAAAATGATAGATTACGCTCTTCAACCTAGTAAAATAATCAATAGTGAGCTAATTTCCACAAGAAAAAAAAAGTATTTCTAAAATAAAGATAAATAAAACACACCACAAATACATAAATAAATATACAAGAATAGCCCACATCTTGCAAACTAAGAGAACATGGACATATACCAATATAGAGGCTAACACATTCAGAAATTTACTCCTCTTTCTCCTCCTTTATTTTCCTTTAATTGAACATGACATACTTTTCAAAAAATCATTCATATTCATTACATATCAATCCAGTGTCCAAGAATATTTTGTTGATATAAGGGTGTTAAGTCACATTGATTTGCTTGGCATTTGAAACCTTGCTGTTACAACTAATACCACACAAGCACACCTTTTGATGCTAAAATGAATGATACCTTGCAGTTAATAAACTAGTTGCAAAACTAGAAAGGTTAGATTCAACAACAAGCTTTCAATCAAGATCATTACGGTGAATATTAGACACAGATCTTAAAGACTCGTATTACAAAGATTTTAATAAACAACAAAATCAAAGAAGCATGCACATGCACCAGCAGTGGCTGTCGACATCTGTCTGCACAAACACATGTTTGAACCATGTTGAGGAAATGACAAGCATCATTTCATTCAAAAAGCAACATACTGATTTTGCACCACTACTTTAGGTCCAGCAGCACAAAAAAACTCAGCAGTAACCAATTCAGCAATTAAAGAAATGGCTTAAACAGTATTGACACACTAGGTATTGGAGGCTGAGAACAGGGCAGAACTTCACTATCTTGCAGCCTGTTACCATCTAGCTACGCTATGGTTGTGGAGAAGAATGTTGAAAACCTCAAGACCAATGCTAACTAGGGCAAAGAACAGACTGATGGCTGAGGCCTAGGCTCAGACCTAATTACCTCAAAGAGAGAACCACATTTAACCAACAAGGTTTTTTTCTTTTTTTTAACTTGATATGATTCACCTAATGATATATACCATAGACATCAACTTCTTTGCCCCCTCTTGTTCCTTTCCTCTTAACCACTTGAGGTGGGAAGCAAATGTTTAGCAAAAGAAATAGTAAGAGGTTGAAACGTTGCTTGTGCTGCAACAAAGCATTTTGTAAAGAGATAAGGAGAGGACTCAAGAAATTCAATGCAACTCTATATATAATGTTTTCTTAGGGTTAAATACATAATATTCTCTATTCATACCCATTATGGCTTCCGTGACCACCTTTGTTTTGAAGACGAAGCACTCCACATGGTAAGTCCATGTCATCATGAAACTACAGCAGGAAAACATTACATGAGCAACTAAGAGATGTTATCAATTATCTTTCGTGATAAACAAAACTGTAATGAAGTATCAAAACCTTGGAGAGACATAAATGCTAGGGAATGGAAAACTTACCACAATCACTCGATTAAGGGGTAGCTTGTAGTAAGCTGCAAGGGGTCCAGTCTGCAATTAATTGGCAAAAGAGAGCACAAGTTATTGCTGGTATGATGGCTATTAATGAAATTTCACACATGTATCTTCGAACTACAGTCATAGCTTTTTAACCACAAAATTATTAGAGATTTATCCTCTGAACAAATGATACAAATCAATCTACTGAGATCCTGACCAAACTAACTTTACAAGTTTCCGCAAATAAGATGAGAGATTTACAAGGAATGGAGGAGTTTTTTCAATTCCCACTACATTAACCACCCCACCTCCCCCTCAAACTCTTTTCTTTTAAATAAATAAGCCCCTTTAAATTACAATCTTTAATTAGGATGTTTAACCCATATAAGTTGACGTCACTATATAGAAGTGATGAATTGTTATTGTTAGCCCTTTCCAGCTTAACTTTTAAGGAAGATTATTTGCTAACTGTTAACATCAGAAAATTCGATTGCTCACTTATTCTACGACACAATGGAATAAATTTCACACTTCCAAATAAGATCTTGCTTGTTGATTTATTTGTAATTTCCCCAAAACTCGATGATAAAACAAAGAAGCACATAAAAGGTGCAATGATGCAGTGATACACCAAATAAGCCATGAACGTTGCAGCTCGAAATAAGAGAGCTCCCCCTTAGAAAACAAAAATTGAAAAACTTGATTGTGAAGGTATTGGCTACAGATCCATTGAAAACTGGATATAGGTGGAAAGGCTGCAAAAGCCAAATACTTTTCCAATTTGTTGTGCACAGTTAAAAGCTAAACATGTGAAATGACCAAACAAGAAGCCTTGTGTCTCTATAAAAATCAAGATTGTGACACTCAAATGTTAAGCATTAAAGAAACCAATAGGCAAACAAAAGTAAGCCATTGGATATCCTCAATTAAAAACAATGGAAAATAAGAATGTTCAATGATTATCCTCGATTCCAGCCCTGTCTTATAAATTATGAAATATTGCTAGTGCAGAAGGCATTTTTTGATTGTTTCTTCATATATCAAACATGAAAAAAGCAAGTTAACAGTAGCAAACAAATTTAATCATTGTTATATGGTTCTGTATTGTGATTTCAAGAAACCAACAATCGCAGGAATGAAAAAGCTTTGAACATGCTAAACTAAGAAATAATATGTTCGAAGCGCTCACGGATTCACCACTCAAGTTCATGTAAGTTTGCGGCTTAGCAAGGAGAACAGCAGAATCACCAACAAAACCTGATAGTTATCAAAGAACAACGATATTCACATACACAAAAATACAGAAATTCTTTAAAAAAAATAGAAATGGAAGAAGATGACAGGCCTTGTCCGAAGATAGCCTTGCAGTGAAGGGTATTCGTTTCAATCCCTTGAGTTTCAGCAAATTTGTCAATCATCTCGAAACCCACCTGCTTCCAGTAAAATGGGAAGTTAAATCTTGTTAAAAATGTTAAAAAAGAAAAGAATAATGTGCCGTACATTGTGTCTAGTTCCTTTATATTTGTCGCCAGGGTTACCTAAACCCAAAAACAGCCATGGCCGTGGAGCACCGCTACAAAAGCATCGCCTAGTAATCATCTCTGTTTGATCATGGAAATTGTCTATGAGGAAAAAGAAAATGAAATTATGAGAAAAAACAATGGGAGAGGGAGTTGGAATGAGGCAGAGACCAAACGACGGAAAAGGTGGAGAGAAAACGAAACGTACGAGGCGGAAAGGAATCTGGGAGAGGCCTGATTTCCCCTTTGCCACGCGGCTCGACGGCTAGTCATTACTGGATGGGAAATGTAGGGAAAAAGAGAGGAGAGAGGGGTTCGGTTTGCGAAGTTTAAAAATTTTTTTAAAAACGCTTTTTATTTTTATTCAGAAAAAATTATATTGCCCAATAGTAACGATTGAATGGTATAGAGATGAATGAGTTATCCCAGATAACTGAATGTATTAGCCAAACATGGCCCTCTTAGCCTTAAAGGTGATACAAGCCTTTTATTTATCAAGATAGCTAAGCTGATTTTAAACAATTCATCTTTATTGCTCAACTTTATTAATTTTGATTTATCATCGTCTTTGAGAACTGAATATTTTTTAATGCACAAGTTCCATAAAGGATGGCATATGCAAAGCATATTTAAAAATCTGAACTTACGAGAGAACTATGCACATTTCCCTATAAGAACCCTTTAGAAAGAAAGAAAAGGACTTAGAAACTCATGTTGGAAGAAATACATGATTTTTATTTTTAAGGGTGTTTGCCCTACATTACAAGGGGTCCTTTATTTTTATAAGCAAAGGAAGTGGAAACAACAAAACTTACATAGTGAAAAGATAAACATACACTGATAGATAGTGACTCATACTAAAGTTTTAGTCATAATCTGTTTCTGGGTCAGAGGTAAGATTGAGCTCCATTATCATATGTTGTTTCCTTTATTTGCAGATATACATGTGCAAGGAAAGGGCCTCGGAGTCTATATCACAATGTCCTTTACAAGTTTCACAAGGTGGCTTTATAGAGAGCTATGCAATCTTATCTTCATTGATTTCTCCGTAGTCCGAAGGGTCTTAAGACCTTTCATTGTATTCTTTCATGTTGCTTTAATTTAGTCAAGATAAAGTCTAAGTGTCTCAAGAAAGTAATCCCATGGCATCTTTATCTTTGATAAGGGCCAGATGTGATCAGGGATGATCCTATTATGTTGGCAGATGCATTTTTGAAACTCCCTGTATTCCTTATCAAGTTCTCTAATGTTGCAACGAAATGACTTATATGCCAATGTTGAGGGAATGGTACCAAGCTGAGTAGCTTTTCCATGAGTCATGAAATATTGAGGTTGGTAGAGGATAAAAATGACCATCTTTTTTTTCTTCTTGCTTCTGATATGGCTAACTCTTTCCAATGAGAAAGTGGATAGAACCATGTGAGGATATCCACAAAATTTTTTTACCATGCTTCGATATCTTCATTTATTGTTTTTTCTATGAATTTCAAGAAATCCATAATATGAAGCTAGATACCAATGTGGTACTTATGAGTTAAGTACCAAAATATCCATTTTAATTCATCAGGAATTCCATGAACTCGTAATAGAAATGATGGATGAAATGGTATTTTGGATGAAGACCATAAGGTTTTAAGATAAGACCACCATGTTTTCTAAAAACTTCGATTTGGTATTCAAAAATCATCTGCTCAGTTTTTTGGTGAAATGTTCCTTCTTGGACTAGTTTGAGAACTTCAAGAGGATAGTCAGGATGAAGGTTTGGAGCTATTGGGGTAAAGGATGAAGAGGATGACCCTATAATGTAGGTTCCTAGTTTTGGTGTGAACCTTGAGGGTTTTGGATTGAACATCATGATTTTAGGTTATTGGGAAAGTCTGGATAGGAAATCTACAAGATGGTTTGTTTTCTCTTTTATATGTTTGGTTTCAAAAGAATACTTTGAAAACCATTCTGCCCATCTTAATAACTCGGGATGTGGAACTATTTTTTGTTTGAACTTCAACACCTAAAGAAAGGAAGACATATCTATGTCTACTAAAAAGTGATGTCCAATAAGCTGAAATTTAAATTTTATGATTGCCTTTTTGACAGCAAAAATTTCTTTAAAAATAGAATGATAATGTATTTCAGAGCTTGAAAATTTTTAACTTTTGCATGCACAAATGTGCCTTTTGCCTTGCTTTTCTTCGAGAGAATCGCTCCCCAATATTTATCATTGGCATTAGTTTGTAGAACTCTTTTACCATCAGAAGGGATTTGTAGTGGTTCCAAGTCTTGTAAACTTTGCTTAAGATTTAGAATGGCCCTACTTTGGGCTAGTCCGTAGTTCGAAGAATATTTCTTAAGCATTTTTCTCAAAAAATTAGAGTACTTTGAGAATTTTGAGACAAAATTTTGGAAATAATTTTGTATGCTAAGGAACTACTGAACTTGCTTCTTTGTGAGGTATTGGTTTGGAAATTTTAACAGTTCTTGTGAAATGTGAGAGTTTTGGTTGATATTTTCCTTGGAGTATATGCATTCCAAGGAAATCTATCTCAGACTTGAATATTTGCATCTTTTTCTATGAAAGCATGACTTCATATTTGAAGACTAGTTTTGAAAACTATTGGAGGAGTTGTATATGGCTTTTTTCTGTTAGGTTGAATAAGAGAATATCATCTATATAGGTAAAAGCCTAGCCTAAAATATATTAGAAGATTTTGATTATGGCCTTATGAAATAGTGATGATACTGTTTTAAGCCCAAATGGTAGAACAATCTAGTGGTAATGATGATTGGGTATGCAAAATCTTATTTTTGGCTTGTCTTCAAGACTAATCCCTAACTATCAAAATCTTGCTTTGAGGTCAAATTTTGAGAAAAACTTTGCTTGAGCCAAACTTGATAAGATTGAATTCCTGTTAGGCAAAGGAAATTTGTTGTCCAATAGAAAATGATTAAAAGGCTGGTAGTTGATGACTAATCTCAGTTTGGCCCTTACTTGCTTTACTGGTTTGTTAACATAAAAGGCTTGACATGCTCATTGAGAATTTGATGGCTCAATCAATCCTTGTTGTAATAATTTTTTTCATTCCTTTTTTGTTAGGTTTTGGTGTTTTGGATTCATGATTGAATGACTTGCTTTGGTGGGATTAATGTTCTCATTAAGTTTAATGGGAGCTTAATAAAGAATTCAAGATTCTTCCAAAGAGGGTTGTTGTATTTCAAAAGGAATTTTGAGTGAGAGTTAGCACATGCTTTTTGCTTGAGGAGTTCGACCATCATCTGGTTTTGCTCTTCTAATTGTTAGATGGAATAAAACTTTCAGATTAAAACAAAAGGTTTGAAAGAGTATTTGTATCTGATCCTATTTGGAAGTATTCTTAAATGTTGGTATTCAAGATAAATGTTAAATCTGACAATTATATCTTTTCCAGGTAACACTAATCTAAATACTCAAGTTATGATGAAGCATTGGGGGAAAAATTGGATAATAATTGGCTTACTGATCAAATGAGTGGTGAAAGTCTAGTCTGAAGCTGTCTTGAAGTGCTTTTCATAAGGTATCTAGAATTCCTTGGGTAATATTTTTGGGTTCATTATTGTTTCTGCTACTCGAATGTCAAAGAAGGCTATTGTAGGGACTGGCTAACTATGCTTTGAAAGGTATATGGAGACTGGTATGGAAGGTACTATTGGATCAAAAAGACTTTGAATTTTCAATTGAGAGGGAAAGTCAATCTAGAGTTGTATCATAAAAAAGTCTTCAATTTTGGTGTTTGAGTCAAGAGTGATGATTTGGATGGCAAACAGGGTTTTGCCTAAGGGTCTGAGAAGATTGATTCGAGATCTTCTTCATCTAGATTAATTACAATCTTCTATTGGATGTCTTGGAACATATTTGCACTTCTTTTCTTATTAGTAGGATATTGTTTGGCAAAATGCCCTTATTGGTTGTAGATGAAACACTTTGTCAGTTTTGTTTTTTTGCCTGAGTGCTTGTTCTTGAGATATTTCCATTTGGTCCTATATCTGTTATATGAGGGATAAGCTCTGGTCCTTTTATATTTTTTGAAATGCTTTCTCTTTTTCATTTTACAATCGTAGTCTCGAATTTTGAGACATTTTATCTAGCAATTTATTCTTTCACAAGCTTTGTATAATTCATTATTTCCCGCGAGATAGTCTTAGACTACTTTTCTTCTATGGCAGATATCTTCAAGGGCAACATGGACTTTTTGCTGTATTTCTCCAAGAATAAAGGAAAAAATGTCATTTCTTTGCTATTGAAAAGCTCTGGTCACCTTTGCCTGAACTAGATCCGGTAGCTAGGAAAGAAAAACTTGTTTTAAGCTTTTAGGGGCTCCAAGAATATAAAACAGTTTTTGCATCTTTTGGAAATGTCTATCAAGAACACTTTTTTTGAAAAAAGTAGCATTTTCTTTGGAAAAATTCTTTCCTTTGCAAACTTCTGACATCATCAGGAATTCCAAGAAAGTATCTATGGAGAATTTGAGCAACTTGCCTAAATTCTTTCTCATTAGATCTACTACCGTTAGCCATAGAATTAGAAGCGGAGGGTAAGGGGCTAGTAATGCCCCCACCCTCCAAAAATTTTAAAATTTTAAAACATATCTTTATTTTTTTAGAATTTTATAATTTTACTCCTACAAAAATTTTAAAATCTTTATGTTGTACCTTTAATTTTTGGAATTTTATAATTTTATGCCTATAATAATTTTTTATTTGGTGAGGTGTCCTGCAACAATTAGTCAACAACTAATTTTAATAGCCTTAGGACTAAAATAAAACCTATTGTAATAGAATTATTCCCAAACCCCACTTTCCCAAAACCTCACAACCACGCATTCTTTGTACGAAAAACATCTAGTCAATAACTCAATTTTCATATCATTGTAATTGGTAAGTTTGGTTTATTCACTCTTGGCACATCGTTGGTCCCTTAGAATGATTTTGAATCATTTGATGTTGAAAGTATTTGCAACCTTGAAAATAAATATTACTTGATGACTGTACGGATCATGATAAAATGTATTTAAGCTATCAATTGAATTTATTCAAGCTGGACATTTTTCATAAGCGGGCTTTGAAAAATATACTTACACTTTTTGAGTTATGTCAAGTGTTGATGAAGACAAGAATAGCAAAAGTTTACTTCGTTGTTGATAGATTGATATGATTTGTCTTGACTCTTTTAGTTTCCACTACAAGATTAAAGCATGCATTTTCTGCTATAAAAGTCATTAAGAACAAACTCTTAATAGAATATCAAATGATTTTCTTAGAAATTCATTAATCATTCTCATTGAAAAGAAAACATTCAAGACTTTGATATTGATTCAGTGATAAATGCCTTCAAC